TGAGAACGCTGATGGAGCACTTAGTGCTGCTCTTGGCATGACACTGTCCCATAATCTGCCTGGCAGGACAACCGCAGGCCTGGGATAAGGGTACTTGGATTATAGCATCGGGGGTTATGAACACAGGCTTTCCTCCCTAGGCAAGCTTGGAGATGAAAAGAGAGCTTGCTGTAGCTGAAAGGTCCAGTTTGGGGTTTCTTAAATTTTGGCGGGAAATTCACCCGCACTCCAAGTGTTAAGATGGTAGAATCCAAGGTTTCTAGGATTGCAAGAGACACTGGGATTCCTCTAAGACGGAGAGGAAGGTAGTTACGTAGCAGGAGAGTGAAAAAGGAGTGAACCAGGCGACCTCCACAAAGCACCACATATGGGGAGATGTGAGGTTTTGATGGGAGTGCCTTGGCAGCCAAGAATAGGAGAGGACGGGGTGGGGTGTGTGAGCCTGCTCACTGCTCAGGTGAACAGTTAACCCCATTCACCTTGGGTCAATTCCTCATTCCCCCTGGAGGGGATGCTGGTGACTTCAGAAACTAGACGGACTTGGTCCCAGTTGCCCTAATCTGGTTACAGCCAACCCATGTTTCCTCTAGGGTCTGGCACAGAAACCAAAGGAAGGGTCTGCAGATCTGAGCCCCGCTGGTTCCTTGGCACAGCTGCTCTGTCCTCTTCCCCGACGAGATAGAGAAGTCAGGGCTGGGAACCCGTGGGCCCCAGTTAGGAAGAAAACATCAACAATCGAAATTACAGCCTGGAAGAACTGCCTCCGTCTGCAAGTAACTGGGCAATTACCTCCCATTAAGCTCTCGTTAATTTGTTTTCTGAGGGTTACAGTACAGTCCTGGGTGGGTGTACCCACCCTGCTGATCACCAAGGTGTTGAAGAAGATTAAGTCTTTCAAATGAATCATGGTGGAACTCTTCCATCTGGTTAACTATAATAGCCGTACTTATCCAGCAGTATGAACCAGGCCCTTTTATCTTTGGAGCCGTGGGAGGGATTGCAGGGTTTTTATTTTGAGTCCTGTTTCAGGGGAGGAAGAGGAAGCACCAGGAGGGGAAAAGAGACACAAGGCAGAATTCAGGCCAGTGTTTTTCAAAGTGTGGTCTGTGGCTGGATCTCTCTTGCCTATGAATCACTTACTATTAAACAGGCAGAGTCCTGAGTCAGAAACTTTCCAAGTGATTCTTACAAATACTCGGTCTGAAAATCTCAGGTAGAAGTGGAAAGCCTTCTGACATTGGGATATTACTGACAGTGATAAATGAGGTACACAGGCAACATCATTTCAGCCCATAATTTCTAAACCCACCCCAGAAGATCTTTCACGTTAGCATTAAGCTGGGTAAAGCTGGACTGTTTCATGTTACACTTCATCCATCTACTAGTACAGCTGGTGGTGCAAATAGAAAAGAGGTCTGGCCCAAAGGCTAGAAGTCAGAGATGAAAAAGCTTGTTTCATCGGCTAGAATCATCAAAGGCTGACGTCTTAGTTTCAACTTCCTGCTCTCAGGTGTTGTAAATGCTGATACACAGTCTCTTTATCTTCTGATAACGAAGGTGAACATAAGTGATCTCCAGAAATGGTTCACACGTGGTTCCCAGGTTCTTGAAAAACCACAAGTGATTGGCAAAGGTTTCTGTTACAGACAAAAACTCAAACAAACAGCTCATTTCCTTCAAGGGCTCCTCAGGGCAGTGGCTGGCAGCCTGAATGCAGTAAGGAGGGAAGTCTTCCTCCCCCTCCCCCCACATCTTCTTCCCCTTTCTGATGTCGGATTTTTCTGACACTATGGAGTCCAAACCGGGGGAAAGAAGCTATTGATAAGGAATGGGACTCCCACCCTCACCCCACCTCTGAGGTCACTGCCCTCTCAGAGTTGGTTACAGACATTTCATTTTATTCATTTCAGAAAGCCCGGGGGCCACAAGGCTCTGAATCAATGTCTTGTAAGGCATACATTACATTGAACTTTGTTCAGTGTGCTCCGGGAAATGCAGACTTGGGTTCTGATAGGATTCTGTTTACAAGTAGCCTGGGTAACTCTGGAACAGGTGGGAGTGACCCACACATTTTTACTTTTTTTTTTTAAAGAAATAATCTTTTTAAAAAAATTGGTATTTTTTTTAGAGAGAGAGGAAGGGAGAGAGAGAATGAAAGAGGGAGAGAATGAGAAATAGAAACATAGATGCGAGAGAAACATCGATCAGTTGCCTCCCACAGGTGCCCCCTGGGGCATCAAACCTGGAACCTGGGTATGTGCTCTGACCGGGAATTGAACCCATAGCCTTTTCATGTACAGGATGATGCTCCAACCAACTGAGCCACACTTTAAAAAAAAAGAAAAGAGATTTATTGAGATATATTTCACATACCACAATTCATCCATTAGCATAGTCAATATTTTTAGTATTTTTTAAAAATATATTTTATTGATTTTTTACAGAGAGGAAGGGAGAGGGATAGACAGTTAGAAACATCAATAAGGGAGAAACATCAATTAGCTACTTCCTGCACACCTCCTACTAGGGATGTGCCAAGGTACATGCCCTTGACAGGTATCAAATCTGGGAACTTTCAGTCTGCAGACTGATGCTCTATCCACTGAACCAAGCCAGTCAGGGCAATATTTTTAGTATCGTATTACTCCTAAAATGTTGGGGTCCAGCCCCAGCAGGTCCAGGGGTTCCCAAAGGTGTGGATGGAGTCGGCGAAGAATGAATGACACGGAGGCAGCGTTCAGTTGATCAGCATGGTTGGGTTCTCTCTTTATTGTTCTATTACATCTATATTTATACTATTTGATCCCATAAGCATGCCTCTATAATTACATCATGGTATGTTTTGGGTCACGTTCTACAATTCCTTGTTTCTTATCTGACCTTAGCCAAAAATCCTGTCTCTATCTAGTTCTGTTGATTTTAATCTTGTCTAGGTTAATCTCTGTGTTCCATTACAAGGGCTATTCCAAGGTCACTGCTCTACTGATAGGCTACAAGAAAGCGACTGAAGGAGTTTATCCTACCCAGTAAAGGTTATGTCCTCCCAGCCTCGCTGCTTGCCTTCCCTGGGACTGCCCTGTATCAGTGGGTCTCCAGGGGTATAGGCTTTGGTGCTTTCCCTGGTGGGCAGACCCCTGGGGATGTGGGCCCAACAAGCCCCAAATTTTTTGCCAACAGTCTTAGTCCAAGTTCTTCATAAGTAGTACATGGTATTTCTGTAACACTAGGGGGATTTACTGACTTATTCTCTTCCTTAGTCCTGTTAACCCCTAACCTGGGGAAACAACCTTTCTTGGGGGAGGTGGTCCTGGTTAAAACACATAGCGCTTAAGAGGGGGAGCAAACATATGTCATATACGCCAGGTCCCTTGAAACATAAGCTGTGTAGATGTTTCTTCCCTGCAGCGACTGCGTCAAGTAGCAAGGGTGGACCAGCTCCCGGCACTAAAAAAACCCCCAAACCTGTTAGCAGTCATTCCCCTTTTCCTTCAAACTCCCCAGCTGTAATCTTTTTGTTTGTTAAGATTTGCCTGTTCTGGACAGTTCATAAATGGGATCAGTCAGACATGTGCAGTCCTTTGTGACTGGCTTCTTTCACTTAGCATAATCTCTTTAAAGTTCACCTATGTTGTAGTAGGAATCAGCACTTCATTCCTCTAATGACTGAATAATATTCCATTGTATGGATATACATTCTGTTTATCAGCTGACTGGACATTTGGCTTGTTTCTACCTTTTGGCTATTATGAATAATGCTACTATGAACATTCATGTACAAGGTTTTATGTAGGCAGACGTTTTATTTTTCTTTTTAATATATTTTTATTGATTTCAGAGAGGAAGAGGGAGAGATAGAAACATCAATGATGAGAATCATTGATCAGCTGCCTCCTTAGTTGGGGATTGAGCCCGAAACCCGGGCATGTGCCTTTGACTGAAATCGAACCTGGGACCCTTCAGTCTGCAGGCCGATGCTCTATCCACTGATCCAAACCGGCTAGGGCCTGGACAGATGTTTTCATTTCTCTTGTGCAGATACCTAGGAGTGGAATTGCTGGGTTGTATGGTAACTCTATATTTAACCTTTTCAGGAATTGCCAAACTGTTTTCCAAAGTTCATTCATCATCAGTGTATGAGAGTTCTAATTTCCTCATGTTCTCATTAACCTTTATTATTATGTTTTTGATTTTAGCCATCCTAAAGGATTTGAAATATTTCATTTTTTTAAAATATGCATTTTCATAGAGGCTAATGATGCTGAACATGTTTTCACATACTTATTGGCCATTTGTATATCTTCTTCGGAGAAATGTCTATTTAGATCCTTTGCCCATTTTAAAATTGGGTTGCCTTTTTATTATTGGGTTCTAAATAAAGTCTCTTATTAGATATTAGAGTCCCAGTGCACAAAATTCATGCACAGGGGGAGTCCCCTCAGCCCAGCCTGCAGCCTCTCCTATCCGGGACCCCTTGGGGGATTCAGACATCCCTCTCACAAGCCTGAACTGCTGGCTCCTAACGGCTCACCTGCTTGCCTGATCGCCCCTCACTGCCCCCCTGCCGGCCTGGTCACCCCACACAGCCTGCTGTTCGGTTGTTTGGTCATCCCTCACTGCCCCCGCCCCCGCCCCCGCCGGCCTGGTCGCCCCATGCAGCCTTGTCTGTCCCGTTGTTTTGGTCGTGATGGCCTCTGGTTTTTTATATATTAGGATATGATTTGCAAAAGAAATTTTTCCATTCGTTGCTATCCTGATATGTCCTTTGAGGCTTAACATTTTAAATGCTGATGATGTTCAGTTTTGTTGCTTGGGCTCACACTTTGAGAAACATTGCGAAGTCACAATTGACAGGAAATCTCCAAGTGTGGGACTTGGTTTCCCCACCCCAGCCAGCTGAGGCTCCTTCTCTGGGCTGGATGCAGAGTCCCAGGGGACCTTCCCCATGTTTACATCCCCTCCCACTCCTGAGGTCTACCACAATAGAGCAGCTGAAATGACAGTTTGCAAATGTCCTTTATTGTGAAAACTCAATGGCCTTTGTCTCTGGAATTTGAAATTTTGATGCACATGTTGGCAGCCAAGAGTTTGGAAGGAGGAGGGGAAGGGCCCAGAGAAGAAACCACGCCATTGATTTCCATAGTGAGTCATTTCTACTCTATGTTGTCTTGGTTTTTCTCACCCATAAAGTGGGGGAAATACCTCCATCTCCCCATGTCAGTGGGGGTACGATGAAGAAGAACACTTTGAGATCTTGGATTAAAGGCATCACTGAGGCACAAGGTATTATTATAACAATAAATTATTTAATAGCAGGGAGAGTGAAGCTACTAAAGCAAGAATGGATAGGGGCAGGAAGGAGAGAGGCTGCGAGTTGTGGATGGAGGAGCTGCAGCCTACAGCTCCTGGGCCCAGGGACAGGTTTTTATTCTTAGAGGTGAGATTGTGGGTTTCTCCCAAATGGTTTGGGTTATTTCATCTGATTCAGCATTGCTTTACTGAGTGCTTCTGTAAGAAAACATGACACTTTTTTGGAAATAAACTCGATGTATATATACATTAAAATCATTAGAAACAATGCAAGACATTATAATCAAATGCTGAATTGAATATAATAAGTATCAAAAAGAAAGACTAGATGGTAAAGAGCAGTGGTCCCATTATGCATCCCAGGTCTATCACACTAGTGTGTGATCTTGGCTCCTCAGTTTCTTCTTTTTCTGTGACTGCAACTGTTCATTTAAAAGGCTTAGAATAATGGCTAGCACATAGGAAGCACTCAATGTGGGATCTGCCTGGGATTTCGTCTTGCACTCCTTTTGTTGGTTACACAACCTTGGCCAAGTTGCTAGATCCCTCCCATCCTCAGTTATCCAATCTGTAAAATGGGCATACAGATAGTTACTGGCTCCCTAGGCCGCTGTGTAGACGACGGGAGACAATGTAAATCGCATAGTACCTACAAATGGTAAGCATTCGCTAAATGAGTTATTATTACAGTCATTAACACTATTTCCCGCCCCGGTGGAGGAGTAAGGGGTGCGCTCAACGATTAGTTGAATCACCAGCTTTCTCAGGAAGCTGGAATATGAGGTGGGCAGGAAGGTACTGGTAGGATTCCGGTGAGCAGAGAAGAAAGCGGGATCCAAGAAGACGGAGGCCTGAGGACGGACTGCCGTCTGGAAGGCAGGAAAGGACCGGGCCTTCTCCAATTGTCCTGCAGCCCGGAGCCTGGCCGGTTGCATCTGGTCGAGCCGTGGCGGCTGTTTACCTCCGAATCCCCTTCCACGTTTTCGACTCTCACCTTCCCAGTCGGCCGGTGCAGGCTCAGCAGGGCAGGCGCAGACCCTCCTCCCTGAGGAATGTGGGTCCGCGTCCCGGGCCCGCGAGGCCCAGCGCATACCTCCTCCCCCGCAGTCAGGAGCCCCGCTGTCTTCACCTCACCCTCCGCCCGGATCCTGTTTCAAAGTCACCTGAAAGCCATTTCCTTCCGCGTCCGCCCCTCCCCTCCCCGCCCAGTAAATCTGCTGGAGCTTGCTTGTACCTGGAGCAGTTTTTTTTTTTTTTTTAGGGGCGGGGGGGCTTGTTTTGTTTTTAAGAATTCTCTAAGCACCGTTTACTATACACACTTGTCTACACCCGGATCTCAACTATACCCAGTGGTTCTGATACCAGCGTCCCTTCCCTCCTTCTTAGGAACAGGTTTGAACGCCTAACCAGTAGGACCTCCTCCAGGCTCCCAGCCGGGCTTCTCCCCTCTAGCCATGTGCTGGGATCGCATCTGTTATCCAGGACCTTTATTGCTGAATTATTTCGGGTTTTCAAATGTACGCTCTTGCTCAAAACCCAGCCTGCCCCTGTCCCCTCCCCCCTCTCCGGTGTGTATCTTCCCATGCTACAAAAAACGGGGTCCTTTATTGCCGTAGGTTCTGCATCTCCCCCCTCTGCCCCCCGAGTCTCGTGGTGGACTCCCTCCAAGTAATCGGCTTCATCTCTCGTCAGCTTCTCACAGGCTCGGATTTACATCAGGAAAGGGTCACCGGAACCGAGTTTCGGGGAGGAATTCAAGTCGTGCCTCTCGGACTCAGAAGAGGCGAGCGGGCCAGCTCTGGTGGGTTCAGGACCCCCAAATCGGACCGCAACCGGAAGCCCCCTTTCCTGTGCGTGCCACGGGGGACGTTTGGGGGGTCCGGAGCCCTCTCGGGAGGCGGTGATATCAGGTATGTGACACCAGGGTGACCCCACCACGTGCGTGTTTGCATCTTGGAGCCTTGAGGCTGCCCGGGAGCGGCCCGCGCGCTCGCCCACCTGCAGGCGGTGATCACCCGCCGCGCGCGCTCCGCCGCAGCCTGCACCCCCGGCTCCCGCTCGCCGCGCCGCCAGTTGCTGGATTCCTGCAGCGGCCGAGCTCCACCCACTGGAAAAATTCCTGGGCCGCCCCTCCCTCTCCCCTCCCTCCGGCTGCAGCCCGCTCGGCCCCGACTTCCTGCCGGGCGCTGGGAGCCGCGCGGGCCGGAGTCCCCGGGGCCGCCAGGGGCTGGCAGTGGGCGGGCGCGGCCGGCAGCCTCGGTTCCTTCCGCGAGCGGCGTTCAAACTCGCGCCCGCGTCGTCGCCGCACTGGGCAGCCTCGCGCACCCGGCGTGCGGGACCCGGCGGACGGCCGTCAATTGGTGAGTGTCCTTCGGCCGCCCCCTCTCCCTCTGCCGCTGCAGCCGGTGGAGTGGCAGTGCCCGGAGTCCCTCCGAGGTCCCCACCTTCCCGGGACACCCGCCCAGCCCCACGCGGGTGAGGACGCGGACTCGGTCGGAATCCCGGGCTGCCTTGGCTCTTTCCAGGGCGACCCTCCCGGCTCAGGGCTGGAGCTCGGGAGGCTCTTGCAAGGAGACGCTTTCCGTCCTCCAGCCCCCACCCCGGAAACAAAAGGAGCGAACGCGCGGGGCGGCTCCGAGAGGCTCCGGATGAAGCCCGGGAAGCCCGCGAGGCTGCGCCCCCCTCCCCGCCCCCCTGCGCGCTCGGTCGCCCGAGGTGTGGTCCTTGCCCCGGACGGGGGGCCCGGCGGGGCGTACTCTCCCGGGAGGGACCCGAGCCTCCGGTCCTGGGAGCCCGAGAGGCGCCGGCAGCCGGTTCCGGACTCCCAGGCTGGCGCTCCGGGTAGTGCCACACGGTGCTGGCTCTTGGGAATCAGCTCATGTCCTGGAGGAGTGAGAGGAGGTGCCAGGAGTGGGGTGTTCGGAGCGGAAACCACCGTCTACCTCGACCTCGCCCACCCCTGAAATCGGGTTGGCTCATTTGCTCCGTATTCGCAGCCCTTTGGGTTGGAAAGCTAGGATAAGGCGTGCACACTTGAAAATTTCAAGACGTTTTTCAGGAGCTGCGTTCACTCTTTGGAGCTGCTTTTGAAAACAAAAGGAAGAACGAAGTGGGAAATGAAATGGTGGGAGGCTGGAGAGGTGTGGCCTGGGGGGGACGGTGTTACTGGCAGTTGTTAGAGTTTCATCTCTGAGGTCACTCTGAACGGTTGGCAGATGAAGGAGCCTGTCCCCTGCTCTGGGGCCCCCAGGAGGGGACCCGGACTGCAACACCCTACAGGGAACCCTGGACTGGGGTTCCCAGAGTCTCCCCGGTCCTGCCTCTGCACGCAGCCCAATCACACTGACCTTGCTCAAGAAATAATAAGCAGGGAGAGTGGTGACAGCCTCAGTGGCTCCCTGCTGAGCAAATCACTCTGCTGGACGGGGAGTGGACTGCTGAGTGTCTTAGCTGGGGTACCTCACCTCCACCATCCCTAGCAGAAAACCGGGGAGTAAGAACCAGAGGAAGGTGTACCCCTTCCCCCTGTTATTCACCCCTTCTCTTCGGTCCTGGGACACCACATCTCCTTCCACACGTGCTGGTAACACTTTTACTGCCCCCCCCCCCCCGCCCCCTTTTCGGGAGGGTTGGGCAATCCCTTGGCTCCCTGGGTATCTGGTTTCTGGGTATGGGGCAAACCAAGAAGCAGAGGGAGGGGTTTGTGTAAGAGCTTGGGGGCCTTTCTACTGCCTTTTATTAGAAGTGGCCTCTCTCTCTCTCTCTCTTTCTCTCTCTCTACTGCCTTTTATTAGAAGTGGCATAGGTCTCTCTCTCTCTCTCTCTCTCTCTCTCTACTGCCTTTTATTAGAAGTGGCATAAGTCTTTCTCTCTCTCTCTCTCTCTCTCTCTCTCTCTCTCTCACACACACACACACACACACATCCAGAGCCCCATCACGGCAGGAATTCTTAGCTGAGGGAAAAAAAAAAAGAAGTGGTATAGCAGGAGGATGGAAAGAGCTCTAGCCTGGGAGTCCAGCACAGGATTTTGCTGGGGATTTAGTCCTGTCTGTACTGCATCCCATCAAAGACTGATTGAGACTCTTGGGCTGGAAGGCATCTCTGATTGGCCTGTTCCATTGACATGAAGGCAGCAGAGCCCAGAGTTGGGAGGTGATTTGAGCCTGATCCCTGTTGGCCAAATAGGGACCAGCACTCAGGTTTCCTCACTCTGTCTAATCGTGCTTTTCCCCACATGACTTGGACAAGTCACTTGTCTTTTTTACTCAGTTTCCACCTGGGGTGCTTGCCTGCTCTTCCTCATAGAGCAGGGGTCCTCAAACTTTTTAAACAGGGGGCCAGTTCACTGTCCCTCAGACCGTTGGAGGGCCGGACTATAGTTTAAAAAAAAACTATGAACAAATTCCTATGCACACTGCACATATCTTATTTTGAAGTAAAAAAACAAAACGGGAACAAATACAATATTTGTATTTGCATGTGGCCCGCGGGCCGTAGTTTGAGGACCCCTGTCATAGAAGCTGAGGTGAGAATCTAGTGAAGCCACACATGTGGAGAGTGCTCCATAAATTCCTGTACAAAATGAAGGGCTCCACTGTGGCCAAGAGGGGCCCTCTCTAGAGCTTTATAATTTCCTGGGATCGTCCCACATGTGCCACAAGGAAGGGTAGACACCAGAAGCCAACGGTGAAAGTTTACACCCCTGGCCTGTAGTATCTCATCTCCAGAGTAAACATTTGCTTCACCAAATCTCAGGGTCACTGTTTACACTGGAGGAGGCCAAAGGCCATGGCCTGGGAGATGACCAGGGTTGGAGGGGAAAAGGACTGTGCCTCTTCCCCGCCCCCACCCCCCCACCCCCCTCAAATCAGAACCTTGTGAAGGCTCTGGCTCCAAGCCTGGAGTGTTGCTACAAGCCCAGGCGGGAGCTGACCTAGCAGGGTTAACTGTGGAGCCATCTAGCTATTTTCTGTTGTGTTGGGGGTGCAGGGGACTCTGCACTTTGGGAATGTGCTGCCTTTCCAGCTGCACTGAGGGCTGTTTTCAGCTCCTCGTTGGCCCCCCTCCCCCCATCCCAGGCTGCCCCTCTGGCCCAGGCGGCTGCTCCGGCCTGCCTCTCTGGCCAGCTGCAGGTCCGCAGGCCTTTGTTCCCGGCCCGCCCTCCCCGGCAGAAGCCCTCAGGCTGGGGCCTGGCAGCTGAAACTCACTCCTGCCAGCAGGAAGCCTCTACTGGAGTCGCAGAGGGCCTGGCAGACCCTCATTTCCTCCTGGGAGGCTCATGTTGGGGCCCCCAACTGGCCCCTGGCCAGATTCTCTGCACTATCTTTTCTCATCCCCTTTCTTCCCCTGAATAGTTGGATCGTTCTCTTTTTCTTCCATACTCTTGCCTCTTCGTTCTGTTTTAAAGCATTCATGTATTCATTCAACAGTTATTTATTTGGCACCTACTATATATGGATGCTAGACGCAGGAGACACAGTGCTGACAAAATATACAACTATCATTGACCTATGCAGTGGACTTCTAGTGGGGGAAGCTCACAGTAAGCAAGGTAAATCATTAAACTAGAAAGCATTGTAGCCCTGGCCAGTGTCGCTCAGTTGGTTGGAGAGTAGTCCTGTGTACAGAAGGGTTGCGGGGGAGGAGGAGTGGTCCAGCACCAACCCCGGGCAGCCGTGTGTAAGGGAGGCAACCAATTGATGTTTCTCTCTTACATCAGTGTTTCTCTCTCCCCCAACAAAAACATATCCTTGGGTGAGGATTAAAAAAAAAAAAGCATTTTAGTGATAAGCAGAAAAATGATGGGGAAGGTGGATGTGAATTTAGATAATGTCTAAGATGGAGTGGCCTGGGAAGCAACTGGAGGGAGGGATTTTTGAGAGAATGCCCGAAGGCGGTATTTCCCTTCATCTCTGACTTCCTTTTCTTGAATGCGAACTTGGACGCACCTGTGTGCAGATCCCAGCTTGGCAGCCTGTTAGCCCTGTGGCGCTGAACTCCTTTGTGCCTGTGTTTCTCACATGTAAAATGGAGTTAGTCATCATACTTACCACGGACGGTATTGTGAGAATGAACAAGAGATGATGGATGTACAAGAGATGATGGATGTTAAGTGCTTAGCAAAGCCTATCCAGGTGTTCAATAAATGACAGAATCCTGCAGGGGTAGCCTAATCCTGCAGGGGTAGCCTAAGATATTTAATGCTAAAGACTGTAGATGAGGAGTTTTTTATTTCAGTTATTAGGTGGGAATAGAAATCCTAGTTAGTGCAGCTTTTTCTACAGGACCCTAGGCTCTGGGTGGTTGAAGATGTGCGGGGGAAGGTGGATGCTGCCTGCCCTGGCCACTGGCTGGGTTGGGGGCAGCTCTGATCCTCTCTTGCTCTGGAATTCCCCGTGTTTTCTGGCTTCTCTACTCTGCCTCAGGCTGGAAAGGCTCGCAGCCCCTCTCCCGGTGTCTTGTAGATAAGTTTGATGGCGTGGGGGATGGGGGTTGGGGGTGAAGGGAGTGGGGAAATGAGGGAGGGCGGAGCTGTTCTAGGGAGCCTGTGGAGGTGGCTAGAGGATTGGGATGGAGGCTCAGAGGCAGCCTCGAAAAATGTTTTAAGAAGGGTCCACAGGGGCCAGAATGTAGAGTCACGGAATGGACAGACACTGTGAGATCTCAGCGTCTAGCTGCCCCCTGACTGCTCAGCGCTGCCCAGCTCCCACCCCGCTTCCACCCCCACCCGCCAGCCTGAGGAGGCTCTACCCCTCCCAGCTGGAACCAGGACCTCAAAGGGAGGGGCCCATTGAAAAGACTGCTGTCACGGGCTCACGGGCTGCGGTGAGCTGTTTCCTGGGGGCCCTGCCGGCTCCGGAAGCAGGGTGGTGGAGGGTGGGGCCCAAGGAAATGGTCATGGGCCAGACCACTCCCCTGGAGAGCCCGCTGGCTCGCAGGCCAGCCAGGCGGGCCCTGTGGTGAAGGAACTTGTGCCTGGAGACCAGCTA